GACAGCGTTTGTGGCTGTGTCTTTGTGGATTAAGAGAAATTAGGCGTAGCAAAGCATAATGTCAGACAAATTTTTCTGCGTGATTTCACCCAGACAGAAACACTGTAAGGACGGACTAGTGGCAAGACGCACACACATTTCCTCACAAATACAGGGGGCACTGGCCGTGATATATTTTACTGGAAATATAAGAAGCCGTTAAAGTGACTGAAGGCTGGGGAAATGCGTTTGGAAGGGAATTTAAGGTAAAACTTTTGTACACGGTTAGATATTGATTTGAAGTTTCCTGGTGCTGTTTTGTAGCATACGGCTCCATGTTGAGAATTTAACCCTACAAGTCACTTTTTTTCTAGCTTGTCCTTGATGAACAGATAATGAGACTTATGTTGCCATTCATTAAAATAATTGCACTTTCAAAAGTCAGATCACATCAAACTATAGGAGTAGACTTTGGTCTGTCTGGACTCTCACAACCTTACTATGCATGTAGTCTTTCAGTAGCTGGAAAGATGTTTTATTCTTGCGGCTTTGTTGGTGAGCTTTATTGTTTTGTTTTGTGCCCTTAAGTAGTGGTACATTATGTAGTTTTTGATACATTTTGACATCCGATGTATTTTTTTAAGCACTAATAACCTTTAGTTCATGAAAAGGGTAGAAGTAAAAAAGTAAATAAATATGTCGTTTATATGTTGTCTTCTTTTTTAATCATCGACCATCCCCTCATCACATGCCAGTCTGACAAACAGGACATGATGCGTCTGTGTTGCAGGAAGTGCTTTCATGGCACAGTGGGTTTTTCTTTTTAAAGTTGACCGTCGATGGTGGTGAGGGATTTAAACCAAAGCCACACCTGTCAACCAGAAACATGTCCTTGTACCTCCTGCCCCACACGTGACATCACTTCCTATTTTGACTGTTATACTTTCAGCTGAAAGAAAGGTTCGGGCACTGAGGCTCCCAGGAAGCTGTCTGTTTCCTGACCTGAAATTTTTAAACAACCCAGAGGTTAGGAATAAAACAGGAAGTAGGACATGAGAGGGACGCGGCACTATAATTTATGGAAATATATTTCACTTCTGGGTTTTTTTGCTTGTTTTTTGAATTTTTTGATGCTTTCTCTATGTTTATACAACATTAAAAATATATAACTTGAAACTGCTTATTGCATTTGAGCAGAACAGAAGAATACTGTAGGAACCAGGCCACAGTCTCCTTGGTCCTGTAAAGAAACCAATTTAAGTCTCATGTGAGTAAAAAAAAAAAAAGAAAAGCAGAATAAAATAATCCAGCTGTATAGACAGAGAGAATAATTCTCTCTGTTTTATAAGTGAACACTGACCTTTATACACGTTCTCTATTTGGTTAAACAACACTTGAAGTAAAACAGTGTTAAAACACTTTATTGGGAAAAACACATACTATCTAAATTTGTTTTTAAAATGTGATGTTCAGGAGGCTGCTTCCATTTGCTTTTCCCTGACATTTCAGTCAGAATCCCCCCGTGGACGGTCGCCACAGCATCAGTCCATGCAGTAATCTGGCACCGTTTCTGTCTCCAGTAAAATATCTGTAAAATATGTTAGAAACACAACTGTGTTAAACAGTCAGTCAGGTGGAGATCCTGACACACCGACCCACAAACAGCTTCACCTGACTTCCTGAACACCTGGTTAACATATCTGCAGGTGTGTCTGGTGATATCGTTACATCACAAATGATCGGACCTGGCTGTGTGGATGTAGATGTGAGTGTGAAATCTACTGTTTAAAAGAAGAGGCCAATCAAAGTGTATGTTGATGATTGGCTGTTGATGTGGCCTCCCCCACTGCACTGATTGGGACCAATTAACAACACATTGAGCAGCCGAGGCCACAGCAGCCTGTGTCACTGCACACACCTGAGTCTGATCAAAAATCACACTCTAATACGACTGGATTACATTTGAATTCAACCCAGCATTATTGCATAACTCCTGTCCTGTGAGACTGACTCAGGAATTTATCATTTGAATATAAAGCTAATTTCTTTTTATGTTAAATTAGTGGGGGTTTTTTAGGTCAACCTGGTGTTTTTTAACTTTTACCTTTCGCTGTCGAGTTAATAAATAATAAAAATATAAACCGATGGCACTTAAGTCTGTTTGTTGCCGCGTTCAGCATCCTCCGTCAGCAGCTTGGCTTTCACACCGACACACTTCCCCCTCCTGTACTCCTCGGTGACGGCTTTGAAGTCTGATGGCTCTTCAGAGGTTCAGTGGCACCTTTGTTCTGCTGCACCAGGTTTCTTGCGGAAATTATGTCTTTCCGAAAGTTTAAGATCTGACGCTGCAATGTTACTCCTTGTGTCATGTCTTAAATGAAGCTGCGTATCCATTTCCACTATCTGAAGTCCCTCTCACAAGAAGAGGAAACATCTTCAAAGAGTCGCAAAGGGAATGAAATACATTTATTTTCCTCAAGGAGGATTTATGACATATGGGGAAAAAAGGAGGAAATTGAATAATGGAATTAATCTTGGTTTTTTTAAGATCTAATTGCTGCGGCAGAGGTAAATATACTGGTAAATAACATTTGTTGTTAGTTAAAGTGACCAGGTTTTCTTTCATTGACGTATTGAAGTATTACGTGTATGTAGAGAAGTATTATCATGTACAACTATGGAAGAACCAAATACTAGCTCTTCAGAGAAGTTTTTACAAAAATACTACAACTTCCATCCAGTCTTTTTAAAGCATTGTTGTGTAGAATTATTGTAGGATGTAAAATCCTTCAAAGACCTGACAAACTACAACAACTACGTTGATAACCAGTGGATTATAAAACTTAATTGAATTTAGGCTGTGATTAAATGAGCGAGTGTGAACTCATCAATAGAGCCTGAGTGCGATTCTGTGTTTTTAATTTTTCATTTTATTAATTAGAACTTGTTTGCTCTGACAGACTAACTTTATCTCTGCACTGCACTGAACTGAAGCCAAACACAGAGCAGTGTTTGGCTTCAGTTCCTAACAGACCTGAAAGCAGCGCGGAGGGAGTGAGCGCGGAGCATCAACACATGATTACAGAGGAACAGGAGTGAGCTGAGGATTATCTTCCATGAGCTTTAGGCTACTCTCTTTGTATTTTTTTTTTTTTTTTTTTTTTTTTTTTTTTTTGTTCTTTTTTCCCCATCACCTCAGCTAGAGCTGCTGCTGAATATTTAATTTTCTCTTCATGATTCCACTTCTCCTCCTCTTCCTCATCACTCTGTTTGATAGCATTAAAGGCATCACCTGTGAGAGCGGTCGCTCTGTTATTAGAAACACTGCCAAATTAGATACACCCGGGGGACTCTCACTGTGATCTGCTGCTTTAGATCAGACCTTCACCGTCATACAGCAGAAAGAGTCGAAGCTTCTATATTGTAACAGTGGTTTGATCACAGAGCAAGGACACAGTGGGAATCTGGAACGTTCATTGTCTTTTGTGACATCCAGTGAATGTTAATCGGTGAAAAGTTATTTTCAAGAGAATGTGTTGAGAAAGTATCTGGCACCATTAGACTTCACTTCCGTCGGTAATAGTCTCCCTGCTTCTCCATTCTCTCCTGGAGCTGCAGACACTTAGGTTTGATCCGCGTCACTTCGTCAAAGACACCAGGCGGGTGACACAGTTTCGCCTTTATCCTGATGACATAGGTGACATTTTTGACTCAAAAGTCATTCCAGAACTGACAGTGCGGCAATTATCACGGTAAAACACAAGTTACCTTTTTCTAGTTGTCATTCAGGTCTTACCCGGTGACTCATGCATTCGCAGCACAACGAAAATGTCACACGTGTCAGTAGAAATGCTGTAGGGTGACACTGAGGGCCAGAAGTTAAAGAGATCTTGTACCTTTCTGTGCCCAGTCCTCCACTTTTACACCTGTACCAGATTTATATTTGGTCACTGGTCAGGTTTCTGTCTGGTGATTTGATTTTCAAGCTGTTACCAAGCTCCCATTAGAGGCTCGGACAACAGGAGTGGATGTCATCTGCTCTTGGGTTCCAGGAACTCTGTGTTCTTCAACGTTTGTCCACCTGGGTGTAAAGAAAGCATCGGTGACGTGAAAGACAGACCACCGTGTTCCTGTCCTGAGGAAATCACCTTTGTTAGACCTCGGCCACTACGAGCCAGTTGTCCTCACGTCTGTTGTCCTGGAGATGTTAGCGATGTTGTCGTGTGGGCCGACCTGAGGCCACGCGGTGGGCGACACTGTCATGTTCCACTGTTTAGTTTGTCTCTGTTTCCCCCGGGGTTGGATCACACCCCTGCTTACTTGATGCAAGGAAGTCATTTGCACCTGACCAGAAAGACGGGCCATGACTTTCCGAGCCGGGGCTATTTTTGAACCTTCAAAGTTTGTGTTGACACTTATTGTTAGCCAACATGGATCACCATCTCAGTGACGCTGAAGAAACACGGCTCGGCTGTCACGCACACGGATCTTTATATGAAACGCTGCTCTTGTTGTTGTTGTTGTTGTTGTTGTTTTTCTTCTCAGCTGTCAGCTGAAGGGCTGTCATGTACCTTGTTCAGGGTCTTCAGCTTTGTCTCAACAGTCTGTGTCTTTAGGAGCATGTTGTACATTAGAGCCATAGGCAGAGCTTTCTATATGGAATTCCAAATCAGAGTGCTCCACAGAGAGAGAAATTCACGATAAATTGTTTGGAAATGAATATAATAACCTACGGAGAGATAAAACTGTCAAAAGGAGTCAGAGGAATTGTAAAAGTAATAAAGCACAGAATCTAAGGGTAGAGGCAGTAAAATACGTTTTAAAAAATACAACGAATTTCAAAAAAACCTTTCACCCATGCAAATCCAGGACGCATTAAATATAATGACAATAATAAAAGAATTGTAAAAAAATATATATGTAAAATAAAAATAACCATAAAAGGTAACAAACTAAGCAGAAAAATACACTTTATTTATTATGCATTTACTTGTTTTTAGGGACTGCTCTTGTTTTCTAATAATTGCCTCGACGTCTTTTATATCGCGGCTGGAGAAATGCAAATTTTTTTAAATGCATTTTTCATACTTTGTATTTTCCAGTGCAAGAGAAAAGTATGCATTTCTGATATTTACACAGATATTATGTCAGGAACGTTTGTTGTTGTATATATTTTTTTCAGAACTTAATACAATTATACGTATATATAATTTAAATCTAAATGTATGTCTTTATCTTTGAGTGGTGAATCTCTGCAGTTCTAACAATCAGTCCACAGCTGCGTCAGTTCAGACTGAACAGGAACTCTGTAGCCTTTTAATGATGGATGCATCAGCGCTGACAACGTCTTTTGACCTTTTCTCAGTGCAAACCTTTGTCCATCTCACCACCGCCTCCTCCACCTCTGCCACTTCTGCTCCTCCCCGTGCGTCAGATTTGGTCGTTAGCTCTCAAATCTGTCACCCAGCATCACTGCAGGGCTATGCTGATAAAAGTCAGGAAGCTAGCAAGAATAGTGATGTCAGCTTGGTGGTATAAAACACACGGCCGTCTGCAGGACACGGCTGACGCGCTCATTATGAAAAACCCAAACGGGCAGCATAAAAATACGCACAGAAATGAAAACGAGTTTGTGCGAACCTGCAAATCCAATTCACATTTTCGAGCATATGTCTGACACACGTATAAGGGCTGCCTCAATAACCACTTAACGCAAACAACTTAAAATGTTGCTATTTCGGTTGACAAGCAATTATCGCACGCACCTCCTGTGATTTGACCCTGTGCTCATAATCTAGACTAAAGAATCCGGAGGAAATGGAGCCACGCAGCAGTGAGGTTTGGGTTTCAGCAACAAACATGAATAAGGAAAATTGTCTTTAAATGTCACATTGACTCTGACGTCCCGACCAGATGGTCCTCGTGACATTTACTGCCGATGTAAAGCCAGTTGTTGTCACAGTAGATACATCGATGCTATGAGATAAAAACTCTATCCCAAAAAGAAGTGCTGTCGTTGTCGTTGCCGTTGTCGTTGTCGTTGTCGTTGTCGTTGTCGTATTAGCTGTTTGTTTAGTATTTCTATTTCTATTCCCTCTCTTTTTGCTCGTCTTCAGTTTCTCTACAATAATTATAATTATTATGACTATTTTTTTCCTCTTTTCTCTTTTGAGTTTTGGCGTTTTAAAAAATTGAAAATCTGATTAGATCTGAACACATTATGCTAATATTAGAACCACATTTACTTAAATACGTATTAAAAAGGCAGATGATGAGTTCGGTCTGACTCAGAGGTTAAAGAATTCCACACCTGGATTAGATTACATGGTCAAACGATATTACAGTGATTTTTTTTAAACTGTGCTTGCGGTGCAACCAGGTCTAAATGTACGGCTTGTCATTTACATACCCACCAGACTGTTATTACCTTCAGATTTTCATATTATAAGGTCAAATCTGTGCAACTATTTCATTGGCTGCCAGTTCGGTTATTTTGTCTATATTTAAATTCCATTAAGATATTTTGTATGCCTGCCAGTGGCAAATGTTAATTCCAGAGAACAAGTGATAACACTGGGGTGATTGGGCAGCTGACCAACAGACAGATGGTCAGATTTTGGTGAAAACAGTCCAAATGTTAAATTACAGGACATTTGGCCTCATAATGAAAATTATTGCAGCGCAAATTGGCAATATTCCATTCAACAGGACTCCAGGGAATCCTTTTTTTTATTACTGTTGTTTTATTTTATTTTTCTCTCTGATAAATCCTATCGTAGACAGATTGCTCATTTCACACGTGTTCATTGTTCAGACTCTCAGGTCTCCAGACTTTGTCATTGCACCAATATAACAAAACAGAGCTTGGCAACTCTCCAACACAATCACAGAAAGGAAAAAAAGAAAAACAGAGTGACGCAACACGTGCTGATATCTGTCGCTTCTTGCCTCCGACACCGATCTTTGTGTATACAAGGTTAAAGCAGCGGTCGAGAGAAAATCTGCACAATGTGACGGTGAAAAGTCAATCGTGTTGCAACACATAGAAAGATTTCCGCGCCTGAATATGAAATATTTGCACTCACCCTAGCCATGTCATCCAGACTCAACAAGGGGGCAAACATGAGCAGTGTCCTTGGTGTGTTTTCCTTTAAATGCATTTTGAAAAAAAATAAACTTCCTCAAGGACAAAAATGTGAGACCCAACGGAGCGAGCCCAGATGGAGGCAGCGGATAAGTTTGGCTTCCTGTTGACGAGAAAAAAGACAAAGGATTAGCCTTGTCTGCACAGCCACATGTCATAATTATGTCAACATCATTGAAGATGTACAATTACGCCATCTATGGAAACACTGCCCCATCACCGTTGTGTTGTTCTCACCTCCTGTGAACTCCCCGCTTACGGGACGCCCATCACCGTTGTGTTGTTCTCACCTCTTGTGAACTCCCCGCTTACGGGACACGTATGAAACCCGTCTGCTTCAACTTCAAACCTCCGTTTCTTTTTCGTGGATGTTGTTTTCATGGTTACTCAAGTCCTAAGGCTTTAACAGGTGCAGGTTTTCGGTTCCTCAGTTATTATTAGACACCAACATGCACAGCAGTTCCAGTACTCTTTATGTTAAATGGGTGGAACAAATGAGGAGAGACTCACACCAGATGTGGGCATATTTAGGAATGAAAAAGTTGTGATGAAAACGCAGTGAATTCTGTTTGGGCTTGTACATCTGAAAACCCCAAAATACATGAGCAGGACAGTACAAGCAAAGTTCATATTGTGAATCATGGGATTGATTACAATCCCAACGAGTAATGAGTATTCATATTAATCCACAGATACTCAGATTTAACACTGCAGACAGATACTGCAAAGCTCGTACAACAAAGCTCAGAAAATGGTCATGAAACAAAGGCAAAGTTCTGAATGTGGAATTTGTAATGTAACAGGAAGATGGAGAGAAAACATGGGCAGAGACTCAAAGCTGCTCAGAATTTAGTTCAACCCAGAACGACTTTAATCTGCAGAATTGCTGATCTTTCTGCTGGCCCTCCTGCTTTTGTCAGATCAGGTACATGAATTAGGATTTTAAAGCCTTTTTGTCTTTTCCTAATCTGTTTATCCACTTGGAGTGGGCCAGCGTTTGTGTCTTTTTTAATACCCCGCAGGGAAGTGAAGGCTTTTTCATAATAATAATAAAAACAGGCCAATATGTGGGTGGGGTTTCTTTTTTACTCAGACACACAGACACGAGGACTCAGCCTTTACTTGTGCCACAAGATTTTACAAAAACGACCATTAAAATTTACATTTAATTTCAGAGATGCTGATTGTCATGAACATATCGACACTTTAGTTTCAGTGATTGAACCAGGGAACAGCCACTGGCATTAACCGTTCACAGCGCTGAGAAGGATGCTACGGCTAACAATTACTATTTGTTGATTCTAAAGTCAAAGAAACCTCTACCACACCCTGAGTACACAGCGGTTTCCTCTAAATCATTCTCTCCTTTCCTTTGTGTCCTACTGAGCTGCCTGAGTATCCTCTAGGGGAGGTGAACTTGAAGTACTACCTTAGAAAGTTCAGGTTTAAAAATACTCACAGGCCTCTGTATCCTCCTCAAAAATCAAACAAGTGGATTGAAGAAAGTGATAGTAAGTTTTGGTCAAAACACAAATTGCAATTTTGAACAAATGTAAGAAAATATTTGTTTTCTTTATTTATGGAACCAGGCTAAATCAGGAAGCTTGAAGTCATCATGAACTGACACAGAACCACAAACACTCTGTTCTCGTTGTCTTTTATTCTCTAAAGTTTGCCCTAAAACTACAAATTCACACTCTCTCTGCCTTTTTCTGTCTCCAGAGTCCGGGATATTCCACGTGTGAGCATCAGGCACACTGCCGGAACTTCCAGGAGACTTGGGATGGCTGCGATGAATTCTCCTGACACGGATGTCGAGACATCAAATACAGTGGCTGCAGTGAATGGTGAGTAACCCTGTGACTGACAACCCCGGGCACTGGACTGTGTTTGCATGTTTGTTTGGGGGAAGGATGTTGAGTGGAAGGAGAATAATAATCGACCAAACTTGTATTTTCCCAAATGTCTGGAGTGAAACTCTGACTGGATTGCCGGCATGAATTCATAATATCTTTATTATCTTTATTAGTCTCTCTTGCAGCCACAAACGATTTAGCAGTGATTCAATCAACTGTGTAATTGCATGTTTTTATGAGACTTTCTTAAGCTTTGATGTGACTGATAATTGCACCAAATGAAGAAAACCCGGCAATGTAATCTAGAAGTATTAGACATTTTTAAAGGCTTGATTTTGGCTGAATTATTATAATAATTATACAGTCATTTACATGATGAAAATTAATTTTAATCAGGGTCTAATGTGTAACAAAGCAGTTGAAAGTGATTTAATTGGAGTGGGCATGTATCAGACTGGGATACATTTAAACTCCAGTGGCAGTTGGTAACACTGTGGCCCCAAAGGACAACACAATAAAATGAACCTGTAAAAAAGCTGTAGGTCTGAAAACAGTACATGGAGAGACTACAAGACAGAAAATTGAAATGAGGTTTTGCAGTAATCTTAGATTAAAATATACACAAAATCTCAAAGTATTGAGAGAACCTGATTCAGCTCAAGCCGCGACAAGGATATGATGACAAAGACCTTCAAAGCGGTCGGAGACGCCTGTCAGCGGTTATAAAACCAGACACCTTTTGAAAGTTTGACATCTGTCTTTGAACCTTTGACTGTGCTTTGTGTAATTACATAAAACTTTAATTGACTAAACCTCATTCTAAGGACACTCTAGAGGACTAATATGTAATAGGATTATTTAATTAGCATAATGCTGGGAGGTTAAAACTGAATTATTGCTAGTTAATGCCAGTTTATCACCGATGTCAGCCGACATTTAATAATAATATTGATAATTTAGTTTCAAATGTACAAGGAACGTTGTCTTTGGTGGTGAAAACACCCACGGTAGGACCAGGCCATTATTGTTATCCTGTCCTTCTGAC